AGATAGAGATAGATAGAGATAGATAGAGATAGATAGAGATAGATAGATAGATAGAGATAGAGATAGAGATAGAGATAGAGATAGAGATAGATAGAGATAGATAGAGATAGAGAGAGAGAGGGAAAGAAAGAGAAAGAGAGAGCAGACGGGCGATTCTATATGTGACTGATGTTCATGCCTTTTTGAGGGTACGGAGCACCCTCGATGTGCCACGAACCGATAGCCGGCCATAGCTGACGTCGAATCGAAGGTACCCAAATGCTCTTGGTGGACTTGGGGTGTGGAAGAGTTTGCGGCCAAGTGCTGGCTACGCACGGGCACCAGCAGGAAGAGTAAGCGCTGCTTGGGCCGGCAGATGAAGTTCGGACACGTCGGACACGTTGCGCCACTTGTGCCTTCGTTTGTGAAGCAGCTGAAATTCTGAAGTCTGAGGATATGGTTTTTCATCTGGAACTCGCAATTGCACAGTGGCTCTAAAGGTGGCGATCCTGATAGCTGATGATTGCCATCGCCAACGTACTGACTCAATGATGAACCACATAATAAAACCCAATCTCTGGTGAATGGCGCCCCGCATTCTTCTTTGGAACCGGACACTTGGACGAGACTCCAAAATCTGTCACTGTCACCTTCCGATTTCGACACCGAAACAGCCTCACCCGCTGGAACGCAGACGGCGACCACGACACCCGCCGCTGACGGAGCTTCGGAGGTGGAGGCGCTGAAGGCCTGGTGAGATCGCGAAGAACGTCGGTCCAACTTCCATGGTGGAGTTGTCATTAGGAAAACATATTTGGGACATGTGACAATGGAGCAGCAGGATCAGGGGAATGGATCAGAGGAATGGATCAGAGGAATGGATCAAAGATTTGAACAAAACACCTGAATTGCGCTTTGGCCCTTGCCGTCGCGCAGTTGGAGATTGCAGGCTGAAACATTTCGGAGAGGGGAGCATGAACATGTTCGCCTCGCTTTTCGCCCGTTTCGCGTCGCTTTTCGCCCAGGCGCGCCGCTTATCCAGTTTCGATGATTTGCCGCAGGGCTGGGATCTGCCTCTGGGGTCTCCTGGCGGACGTTGATACCGGGCGATACGCCGGACCGGAGTCTCCGGACCGGACCGGTCGCACGTCTGTCGGGTCGGAGCGCCCAGGTCGATGCTGCACATGCCGATCTTCGAATGGCGAGACAAGGAGAGTGAGCTGCGACGTGAGATGAAGGGAGAAAGCTGTCGGATCCATGGATATTTCGATGTGAATAGGCGCGGAAGGAAGAATAGGGCCTGGTGGGGCAGGTAGTTGGCATTTCTTAGATAGGCTTCTTATCCTCATGGATTTTGGTTGCTTTGTGAGGGAAGTCGGGATTTCTCAAGCATCTCAGACTGCAGCTTGCTCATTTAGAGCTATTCCAGCAATCACTAAACTCACTAGATAAAGTGAACCAACGCCATGCACGTGATGGACGGACCAGGTGTAGCTTTGCTGCAGTTCTTTTTCAGACCGTCCTACTGTTGTCAGGGTCCCTGGTAACTTCCACATCGGCGTGCATGGAGCTATGGTCCCATCATACCTGTCCTTCTACGACGAGCCAGCACCGCCTCAACAGAACATGCGGTCGCTCAGCGAAAAAAGGAAAGTATAGTGAAGTGATCCCCAAATAGATAGAAATGGTTTCCAATACATTTTTTGTGGGGATCTACTGTTCTATCTATTTGATTCTATTTGGGGGTCTAAAGCTGAAGACTTGATGCTGAAGACTTGATCTAAACGACGGCACGTTTAGGCACACCATCAACTCCTTGGCCTTCATCGATGTGCCATATAAGTCTGGTGGCATGTCCCGGCCACTGGATGGTCACTTGGTGCAACAAGTCCTGGCTTTCATGTTGAGTTCCGAAAGAAGCAGCGTGCTCGACCCATGCTCATGGTACAATACATACACCTCCTTCGAAAGAAAGCATGTCACCGTTCGCGATCTTTTGCAAGGTTTTGAAAGTCCGAAGGCCTTTACTTTCCAGCATCTTGTCTTAATATGTCTTAAATGGTCTTAATGCCAAGTAATGTCAGCTGACTGGCATTCTCGGAGTGTCTTTTCATCCAACACCGTGTTCACCGAGGTACTACCTCATGATCACTCCTGTGACCCGCAAGACTCGTGCTTCTTGACACAAGACTCGTGTTCGGTCGGGAGCAGACACATGACATGGGGTTCTCACACGTTTTCTTCCCGTGCTTTTCGGACAAAACGATCCAACAGTTGTTTTGAAGAGGTCGGATTCATGACGTATTCATGACAGAAGAATATCGGGAACTGAAGAGTTCTTGAACAAAGACGGCCCCACTTTTCGAGACATATTTGGAACATGTTGGAAGAATTTGAACCCTAAAAAGACGGCATCAACGACACCTATTGGTTCCCATTCCCCCTTCAGGCGGTGGAATGGGGCTATCAGTTCAAAGCCGCTTCCTTCGTGACCAACGAGCTCATCGGTCCCGCCGTCTTCTTCCGCATGGACTTTGATCCAATCAGAGTCACTTACTTCACCGAGCATGCAGCTGGCCTGGATTTGTTATTTTAAGGCCTTGATCTTTTTGGGCGAGCGGAAGGACGCTCCCGCAAGGGGTTCTTAAAGGTCTTTACAATGTCATATGTCATATGAAGTCTTTTTTGTGTTGTTTTTTTGTTTCAGATGTGTCCCATTATCAGTAGTCGGTAAAGGATTATCATTCTTTTGGTGAAGGGTCGTGACTAACCATCATCATCTTGCTGCTACTGGAATATAGCGTGATGTGACATATGCATATGTTAATATATATAAATATCACGAAAGCCAGCCGATAGGCTAGGCTTGAGGTAGGGGAGCGAACGAAGTGAGTTAAAGGGGGAAAAAAGAGAGGTGGCCACTTGGTAGTGAAAAATGAGTGGTTTTAGGGGTGCTGTGATGCCAGTGATGTAATTGACGGCGAGTAGTGCATCATTAGCATCATGAGGGGCTCCGGAGGCAGTGTAAACCGTCTTCTACCAGGGGTGGGCGTTCATGTCGATGATAGGACAGCGGGCACAACGGGACGCGAAAAGTGGTTGGAACTCTTCCAGGAAAGGGAGATGCGCGTCTCTGATGGCCATTGAAATAGCGTTCGTAAGGGTGAAAGGGAGGTGTGTGTCTCTTAAAACATTGTGATCTGTGAACAGAATGCTGTGGGGAAGGTGGATGACAGGCATAGCGGAGGAGGGCGGGTAGGAAAAGAGGGCTTGCAAGAAATCTTTGAGTTGCTTGTGGGCACCCTTTTTTCATGGTGAAGACGCCGGTCAACCACACGCAAAAGGGTGCGAGTTCATGTAATGACGCGGAGGGCAGGATAGAGAACAGAATGCAGCGGGCAAGCTTTGAGTTGCTTGGGGGTGCCCTTTCTTAACGGTGAAGAGGCCTGGTAACCTAGTGCCAGACTCGAAAGGGCACCCCATATGGGGTAGGAGCTCATGCGGATGAGACAGGCATAGCGGAGGAGGACGTAATAGGAAAAGAGGGATTGCAAGAAATGATGTGACCCATTGAGAACAGGGAGGGAACAGAATGCAGCGGGCAAGCTTTGAGTTGCTTGGGGGTGCCCTTTTTTATGGTGAAGAGGCCTGTTGACCAGACGCAAAAGGGCACCCCATATGGAGTGGGAGTTCATGTGCAGGATAGGCATAGCGGGGGAGGATGTGATAGGACAAGAGGTGGGGAGCTCACCAGGGATCTCGCATTCACCCCCCGTGGCCATAATGATATCTTTTACGGTGGCTGGCTTTCGTCCCCTCCCTTCTGAGGTATGCATATACATACATATATATATATATGTATCTATCCAAATACTTTTTAGAAGTCTCCCACTTGGGACAGTTCTCACGAACAAAGGAAGCAGATCTGGCAGATCTGTGTCCCTAAAGGCGGGTCAGTCGAGTCAGCTGAGGTACCCTTCAGCAAATTTCTGGTGAATGCCTGTGCGGTGGTCGGAGGTTGCATTGCGATGCTCGGCTGATCACTTTTCCACCAGGGAGGCCGATGTTTCTTTTTTTGTGGAGGTCTTTTGGAAGGGATACAGTATCCATGGTGTCTCGCAGATACCTGTAATAGCTTGTGATGCCTGATTTTCTCACGGATTTCTTTCTCCAAGTGACCAAGTGAGGATGAGCACGATGCTTCTGAAGATCTTGGATGCCATCATAGAAGAAGAGTAGACATGTAGATCCTGAACAAGTAAGTGAAGATGAGAGATGACCTGAAGAATGTGGCTGCAAGTGGCTGTGAAGCAAAGGAGACTTCATCAACTTCATATGGTCCTTACAGATACCTGCACGCCTGCCACGTAAGAACTCTCGAGATTGCGCTGACTCGAAGTAAAAAGAAAGCACTCAGACTGCGTCCCATCAGGAACAGGAGGCCGTTTGGATGCACCGTTTTTCGTGTGTTTACATCATCAATAACGGATGATCAAAACAAACATGAAGTAACAGCACCACGAAACATCACATAAAACATGTGTGAATTAAAACACAAACATCCAACAATACATTAAAAAAAAAATATATACATATAATATAGTATTTGATAAACCAGCAAAAACGAAAACACTACCAAATGTGCAAGTAAAGTGCAGTACAATCAAGCACTGGCAGCAACCCAAGCCGCTGCACTACAAACAAACAAGCACGGGCAACGACAATCAGCAGCAGCAGCAGAAGGACAACAGGGTCGGGAGCCGACTCAGCAGGCTAAGATATACGTAAAATCAGAAACAAAAACACACAATTGAAAAGGATAACTACACGACGATAGTAGAGGTGAGGTCTGGATGTTTGCCTTTGGTGTTTTCAGAAGATCAGAAGGTCAAAGCACTATACGACACGATACAATTCCAATTTAAAACCTTTCTTGGGTGGCGTGGCAGCGTAGAGATCTTCACACCCGCTGACAGACCTTTTTTCGCCAAGCAAAAAATGAAGGCAATGTGTCCGTGTCAATTTCTTGTCTGAGTTTGGAGGCCAATGTAAGGTAAGAGCAGTGTTGCAACTGTTCTCCTTGAGTGTCCTTTTCCTGTAGTTGTTTTCTTTTGCCGCTTCGCCACATCTCCCTTTCTATTTTTTTTGCATTGGCTATGTTATTGCTGATTCATTGTCACTTGGTTCTTGCCCCAGACTCGGCTCTATTCTTTCTCTTCCGGTTGTTTGTGTTCTTGTTGCTCTTTTACAGACATTTTTACCATTTGTCTCTACCTGCTGCCAACCATCACTCTCTTCTACTATATTTTGCTGCTGGGCCCTGCTATTCTGCTGTTTTTGCTACTATCCTTGTTTTGCTTTCTATCTATGCTCTATTTTTACTTTTAAGTGTTTGTTTTCTGTATTTGTTTATTTGGGGGTACTGTTTGCTTTGTTTATATTTTGTGTTTATATCTTTGTTCTTGGATGCTTAAGCAGTTCCCTATTTCTCTATGCTGTTGGTTGATGAGCGGCCCGGGGATGGGGCCCCGGGTTCGTACAGAAGCAAGAGGATTCAATAGGTGTAAGGCACCGGCTGTGTGTATTTTGGGATATATCCCCTTCTACGCCCTGGCTGGGTAGACTGGTCTATTGCTCTTCCTCCTTGCCTGGGAGGGGGGGGGGGTCAACCACCCTCCTGTGGAGGGTCGGTCTCTCGTCGGTCGACCAGTACGTCTTGGGCTCACAGACTCCGGCCCGCCACCTGGCGTGCCGAACTTCCCAGCGTGGGCCAGGGCGCCGAGGATCGACAAGCATCCGCAAGCAGAACTCGAAAAACATGGTTCGAATCGGGTGTCAGTACCTGTGATTCAACTCATGAGTTGGAGCTTCAGAAAGTTTGAAGGTTGTGGTTTCAGAGTGACACACACACACACATACGCAGGGAGATGACTTCGAGATGGGGGGTTCATGTTTTCAACCAGCTTTCTGGATGGCTTTCTTGTGCCACTCCCAATGCATGACAAAAGACATGAGCTGAGTGAGGCGATGTACTGGTTGTTGATACCAGGGGTGCCACAAGCTTAGTCGCAGGAATGGAGCGAACGAGCAGCGATATGGAAGAAGTTCAGGTATTTGTGCATGCCCGTGCCCGTGCCCTTTTCCTTTGACTTTGCAAACCTGCGGTCACTGAAATGCGTATTGTCTTTCCTCTTTAAGATCTTTAAGGGCCCGTCCTACCTGTAACAGTCGGTCAACAATCGTCACTATTTTAGAACACCCAAGCTTTCTTCATGGAGTCCTTTTTCCAATGCCAGTTCATGGCACTTTTCCGTTGAGGTTGTACTTCTTTCGAGACAGGATTGCGAGCACTCTCGCATCCTTGCCCGCACGGAAGCACGGCGGCCCAGCGAAGCAAGCATGCGCACGGTTCCGCGCGCGGAGCATGGGTCTTGCTCGGGCGGTTTCTTGGTCCACGGCAGACGGCAGAAGATGCATAGAATCTGGCATTTCCAAAAGCAAGATGGGTGGAGGTATATAGATGGTGTACTGTAAGTATATGACAATATAGTATGCCATTGAGACTTTGTTGCCCTGAACTAACACTGCAGTAGGTGAGTGTGTGAACATGTGTGAACCATGTGACGGCCATTTTGGGCGATGCGACTGTTCTTAGGACAGTGGTTCAGGGCCATCTGCTGACCTTCATTCTAGGTTCGTGCGGGCCCCAAATCGCTTGATGCTTTGCGCCATTCAAAAATCGCTTCTGTACACTGATTGGATGCAGAGATCGGGATGATTGGCCCTTGTACATTGCAGCCAGGCTTTACATTTTGCCCGTGGAACTGGTGGGCTTGAGTGCTGAAGACTGAGTCATTTCTTGAGCCATTTTACCCACATCCTTCACCAAACCAAACAGTCGCGCCGTCACCAACTCCGATCTGGCGAGACCGGGCCGGCTCCGGGCGGAACGATGGTTGCAACGACGAGACCGAGGCCTTCAAGCGACCTTTGTACATGGCCAGGTGGGTCCGAGGGGGGTTGAACTGGACGGCCCGGTGGTTCCAGGCGGTTCGAGATGAAAGGAAAAGGAGGTGAGGTTGGGGGGTCCAAGGTTCTAAGAGGAGGAAGGTCTAAGGTTCATGAAGGTTCTGGGTTTGGCCAAAGAGCTTTGGCAGTTGGAAGGTGGAGGCTCTTCTTTTGGTCTTGGGTCTGGATCTGGATATGATTCTCTTGTTGCTCTTTCCTTATTCATCCTACAGTACTAGTAGTACTAGAATGTACTAGACTCTTTTTCAGCTTCTCCTTTGATCCTTTTCTGGTTCCAAAAGCCAGAACCAACTCAACTGGCAGACTTCGACACGCGCCGTGGCTCCGGTGGTGCTTCACATCGATGTGGCGTCACGCCCTCGTGCCAGTCTGTGGTGCAACCTCCTCACCCTGCTGTACACCATCAAGGTCAACTACGGAGCGCCGCCCCTGCCGCAGATGACGGGCTTCTCAATGTCCAACTGGAAACAGATGGGCCAGGCGCAGATGGTGCAGATGGTCTGCGTTTTTTTTTTTTTCTCGTTCTTTGAACGTGATGCAATTGAAGCAATCGGCCGTTCCACCTCGTGCTGTATAGTCGGGACTCTGTCGGGGTGCCCCTGTCATCCACGGCTGGATGGGACGAGCCACACCCCTTCGCTCACTCCTTGGATGCACCGGGATGAGACTCTTTGATGCTTGGAGCCACCAGAAATGATCGGTATCATGGGATCAGACGGCGCCCGCTTCTGCGGCGCCCGTGGCTTGCCTTATGGGCAAGCCAGATGGGCAAGCCAGTGGCAAGCCAGTCTTTGGGGCTTGGACGATGGTTTCCACCCCTCGACCACTCCTGGATGATGGGCGCTGTTGACGCCAGGCGGCGCTCCAGACTTTAGCACCATGGGTACAGAAGGCCTCGACCTCAACGCTTCACCAAAAACCGAGAAGCGAGATGGTGGGACACCCTTGATTTAAAAACTGCTGTTTCTTTTTTTTTGCGCCATTCTGGACATCACGAAACAAGCAAGCAAGTATATAATTGTTCTTCGTCGATGTTGGAGTCGATGTTTTCTTTCGATCGATGGAGACACATGTCGATCGTGTGCTGCACGGTTTCTTGGTGCTTCGATCGATGCAGCACGGTCCATCGGCACCGAAAACGAGGCCATGTCTGGCGTGGATTTTCAGTGGCTCTTCTTCGTGCCACTGGCCGAGCAAGTCAGACGAGAGGAGTCCGTCGTGACAGATGAATTCCAGGTCCACACGTCATCCATCGATCGAGAAGTAGTATCCGGAAGATCGAGATTTTGAATGATTTTGACATGTTTTTTGACAAACTGAGTGGTTGCATGTCATGAGTCTAATATCATTAATTCATTTATTTGATCTTATTTTCAACAAACACACTTAGGATTGGGTGTACTGAACTGAAAGCAGTGCCACACGCCGGCCTAGGGTACCATTTCCTAAGAGTACAAGTAAGAATCACCGGATCCTGGAGGGCTTCAAAAGGAAGTGGGGCCAAACGCGCAAGTCGAGATCGAAACGACAGGGTGACGGCGTAGCGTGCAAGTCTACGGAATGTCAAGCTCAACTCAGCAAATGTTAAAAGTCAAGCAGGTACGTGGATCCTGCGTCCAGAATCCATATCAGTGACTCGTAACAGCCTCTTCGTTGGACTGCCACTGTTACAAGTCAGGCAATCCCCCTGCTCTAAACAAGTCAATCCTGTGCAAATTCAAAAGATCCCTGTGACTACAAGGGGCACACACACACACGCCTCCCCAAGGGGAGGCAAAAATTAAGGCTAGGACGAATGTGCAGATGTGCGCGCAGCAAAGACAAAAGGATGAAGACATGAGAAGGAAGACGAGACGAGACAAAAGTGTGTGTGGTTGCGATGAAAGAGAAACAAAGTGCACAGGGACAAACAATGAAACCCACCTCATTGTCGAGACCTGGGCGACCTAACACCTGAGTTAAAAGTAGATGTGCGCGTACACACTAGGGCCCGGACCGTTGTACGCGCAAAAGAACGAAAGGAGTGAGATGAAAGGAAGCAAGGGAGGACATGAAAAGAAAGAGGAAAAGAAGTGTGTGAAGGGTGAGGGTGAAAAGGGAACCAAATGGAGGGGACGGGAACCGATGAAACCGGACCTCATTACAACGACCTGGGAAGACCTGCCTCGTTAAAGTGTGTACGATGTATGTGCACCTAAGAGTCCGACAGGTTCCAATGAACCTGAACAAGCTTTGGTCGCTGGCTTGCCCGAGGGCTGCCACCTTTGACCGCTGCGGTCACGTAAAGGCACGAGCCAGCTTGGAATTCAATACTTCAGCAAGACTTGGCCTAGGGTACCATTTCCTAAGAGTACAAGAAAGAACCGCCGGATCCTGGAGGGCTTCAAAAGGAAGTGGGGCCAAAAGCGCAAGTCGAGATCGAAACGACAGGGTGACGGCGTAGCGTGCAAGTCTGCGGAACGTCAAGCTCAACTCAGCAAATGTTAAAAGTCAAGCAGGTACGTGGATTCTGCGTCCAGAATCCATATCAGTGACTCGTAACAGCCTCTTCGTTGGACTGCCACTGTTACAAGTCAGGCAGTCCCCCTGCTCTAAACAAGTCAATCCTGTGCAAATTCAAAAGAATCCCTGTGACTACAAGGGGCACACACACATGTCGAAAAGGCTGCCAACCTCTTCTTTCAACTGCCCGAAACGAGAATTTCTTGATGCCTCATTACGCATCAGGCTCATTTGGATTGCAGCATACCCATCGGTATGGGCCATTCTCCTGATTGGACGACGCTCACTCTGGTCGGGGAGCTGCCAGTTTTTATTCAGCTAGAGGAGTTCAGAGATGTGGCCAGAGTTCACAGTCTAGGGGGAAGCTGTATACAAAGGGGTTCTTGCGTGTTCTTGTGGAATAAAAACAAGACAAGGAGAGGTAAACAGGAGTTGCATGGGCCGCGGCGTGCGGATTGCTGCGACCCACAAGACATGCGTGCGTGTGTGTGTGTGTGTGTGTCTTCCATCGGTGTGGTCGACGACTCGACGCCGGACGGGTCGAATCCGAACGAAGACCCGAGTCTCCGAGACCCTGCAGCTGGTTTGTGGGATGGTCCATTTCATTCCACTTCCGTGTGATGTGCTCGGAGGGTACTCCTATATATTTTGAGATGCTTTAAGGTTTCCTGAGTTCAGGACATTCTTGTGACTTCACTTCTTGACTGCATGCCTTGATGCTCGTCTCATCCGTTGCGAGAGATCGCGCCTGTCCCTTTTCGCAATGAAGTTTTGGCTTCAGAGACTAAGATGATTTTGAAGTATCCTTCATGTTTCGACGGAGTTTCGTTTCGCATACGCAACCCAAACCACGGTCTTTTTTGCAGAAGCTTGGCGTGTTTCGTCTCGCAGCTACAGCTACAGTATATATGCTATAGCTTTGGACCGGTTCTCGACACTTTTCAAGCAGATTTTTTCACTGCTGCTTCGCATTGCCTCGCAATGGACTTTGATGACCTGGACTCGAGTTCGTTTTCAGTTTTAGAAGTCAGACAACATGCTTTTCCTCCCATTTGTTGCCTTTTTGTTGCTTCTGGTGGAGGCCAGCGGAATTAGGTTGGAGGCTATCGCTGGTAGGTTGGAGGCCATCGTTAGTAGGTTGGAGGCCATCGGTAGTAGGTTGGAGGCCATCGCTAGTAGGTTGGAGGCCATCGCTA